TGGGGCAACACTGAGGGTTGCGATCCGTTGCCGGACACAGAAAAAAGACAAAAGACAAAAAAATAAAAAAATAAAAAATAAAAAAAAAACAACAGATGGGCAGGCCCGGTGGCGCACTGCTATAGTGCGCCACTTTGGGAAGTGCGGTGGCGCTCCCGCCGAGGGTTCGGATCCCACATACAGACCGGTTCCCGCTCACTGGCTGAGCGAGGCACGGGAGCAACACCGAGGGTTGCGATCTCGTTGCCGGTCCTAGTCCGGTACGGGGGCGACACTGAGGGTTGTGATCCGTTGCCGGACACGGAAAAAGACAAAAAGGAAAAAAAAAAACAGAAAATAACAAGTGTGTGAGGATGTGGATAAACTGGAATCCTTGTGTGCTGTTTATGAATGTAGAGCAGTGTACCCACTATGGAAAACGATATGGCATTTCCTCAAAAAATTAAAAATAGAATTACCATATGATCCAGCAATTCCACTTTTGGGCATATGCCCAAAAGAACTGAAAGCAAGGTCTTGAAGAGATATTTGCTCACTCATGTTCATAGCAGCATAGTTCACAACAGTCAAAAGGTGGAAGTGTCCACTGACAGATGAATGGATAAGCAAAATGTGGCCTATACATACAATGGAATATTATTTAGCCTCAAAAAAGAAAGAAATCCTGACACATGCTACAACATGGATGAACATCGGGGGATATTATAGTAAGTGAAGAAAACTAGTCACAAAGAGACAAATACTGATGATTCCAGTTATATGAGGTAGAGTACTTAGAGTAGTGAAATTCCTAGAGACAAGGTAGAATGGTGGTTGCCAGGGCCTGAGGAGAGGGGGAAATAGGGAATCATTCAATGAGGAGAGAGATTCAGTTTTAGAAGATGAAAAAGTTCTGAATTAATACTACTGTGTACTGGGCCGGCCTGTGGCTCACTCGGGAGAGTGTGGTGCTGACAACACCAAGGCCCCGGGTTCGGATCCCATATAGGGATGGCCGGTTAGCTCACTGGCTGAGCGTGGTGCTGACAACACCAAGTCAAGGATTAAGATCCCCTTACCGGTCATCTTTTGAAAAAAAAAAAAAAATACTACTGTGTACTGTATACTTAAAAATGGTTAAGATGATCGACTTTATGTTATATGTATTTTACTACAAAATAACATTTTTAAAAGTTTTTTAAAAATGAACTAAATAAAAGCTTTCTCAGTGGGACTGGGTGAGGATTATCTAAGGTACTCTCCAAAGCCACCCCCCTGCTCCTGTTTCCTGGTACCACTTGTTCCCGACATCTGTTCTTGCCCTCTTTGATAGCAATACACTCTCTTTTTAGACCTGGGCTCAAGACTGTCCACAATAAAGATCCCATTTTCCAGTCTCATCTGCGGCCAGGGGTGGCCACATGATTAAGTTCTGGCCAGTTTGTCCTGTGGCAGCTGCCAGAAACTGTGAGACATTAAATCCTTATTTTAAGCTGCTAAATTTTGGGATAGTTTGTTATGTAGCATTATACAACTAATACAGTCAGTCATGCACATCTCACCTTCACAATGTTTTCCATATCTGGAAATCAATATTATTTAATATTTAGTATTTTTCTTTTTTTTTTCTTTCTTTCTTAGTTTTTTTTTTTTTTTTTTTTTTTTTTTGGGTTTTTTTTTTTTTTTTTTTTTTTTGGTGTCTGGCCAGGACAAGAATGGAAACCCGGACCTTGGTGTTATCAGCACCATGCTCTCACCAACTGAGTTAACTGGCCAGACCTCTACATTTTTCTTAAAATTAACCAACTTTAAGTATTAAACAAAGATACCTAACAGAAACTTTACACCACAATTGAAAATGGAAAACCAGTATCAATTCCATAAATAGAAGTTAACTATGAAAACATCAGATACTTTTATCTGCTGAAGTTATGAACCGGAAGCCTGCTCTCTCTTTATTAAAAAGGAAGAGCAGGGCCGGCCCGGTGGCGCACTGGGTAGTGCGCCGCTTGGGAAGCGCGGCGGCGCTCCCGTTCAAGGGTTCGGATCCCACATACAGACCGGCTCCCGCTCACTGGCTGAGCGAGGCGCGGGA